GGTTTAGGGCCTAAGGGTTTGGGGTTCAGCGTTTCGGGTTTAACTCCCAGGGTTTAGGGCTTAGGGCCTAAGGGTTTTCAGGCTCCCTTGCTTAGAGTCCCCAGGTAGCGATAGCCCAACATCGCAAAAAAAAAAAGCACTCGAGCTCTTCAGGTCCCTACACTAAGCCTCCGGCCTGGGACATGAGCATGTGCACGATCTTACTGTGTCCCGCTCGCTCTGCCAACTCTGCCGCCGTCCACCGCCGGTTCTGCCCGCCACCCTCATCCTCAGAGTTCAAACTCGGGCTCGTCACTTGAGCTCTGCTTGGGGTTCCGGCTTCGTGGGTTTTTAGGATCCAAGGTTAAGGCCCTTTGGGTTTAGGCCTCAGAACCCAGTGTTTAAACAAGGAGCTCTATGGGCAGAGGACCTTTGAGACAAACTGGGCCAGGAGGGCTCAGTACGCTTCACCTGCCTACTGTATCTCCTAGCTGCAGCTAGATGGCTGTAGCTGCCGCGCTCTGCCCTGGAACCAAGTACTCACCCAGAAATCCGAGACATGCCGTTTACAACAACTTCCCTGATGGTCTTCACGAGAGATGACACAACAGCATACAAGCGATCGAACTAGGCGTTTGCTCCTAAAACCCTCGAGCCCTAAACCCCGAAAGCCCAAGCCCTCAACCACCCTACCTTTCCAGCAAAAACACGATGCACCATTCAGACACAGCATCAAAGGTGTGATGCACATCCGCTTTGGACTCGAGGAGGAGGCCAACGACGTTGGCGTGCCCCTGTTCTGCGGCCTCGTCTCTCGTAATGCTGATTTCACTCGGTGTTGCGCTAGTGTGCATTGAACCCTAGCATCTTTAAACTCGATTTAGTTGGCGGATGGCCTCCTGCAGAGCACTTCGCTCACAGCGGCCATCGGCCGCGAAGCCATGCACATTGGCATTGTACTTAAGGAGGGTCTCGCAAACTTCCACGTGACCTTCACCTGCTGCGACGGAAAGTGGCGTCCATCCCTTGTCGCCACCATCATCCGCATCTGCGTGATGCTTGAGGAGGGACTCGCAAATTGCATTGTGGCCTTCTCGCGCCGCTACCAAGAGAGGTGTAGATCCGTTCTTGCTCAAGGCATCTACATTGGCCTTCACACTCCTTGGCAGACTTCTGAACCCCTTCCAAACGTTAAACTTTTAGCTTACTTAGCAGAGTTCATATAGCAATCCCAAAAAAGTTGAAGTACTAAGAGCCAACCAGAAGAACGCCAAGACTCAGAAGGACCTCACAGACCTCGGGGTTCCCCAGGTAGCAGGCCTCGTGGAGCCTGGGGAACGTGGTAAACTCCGAAACCCTTTTCTGAACGAGGTCTCTCTGAAGCCCTAAACCCTAAACTCCAAACCCTAAACCCTAAACGGCCCTAAACCCTGAACCCTAAACCCTCACCAAGGAGCGGGGTGTAGCCGTAGGAGCCTTTCGCATTCAAAACGCCCCCCTTCTCGACGAGGAGCTTGAGGATGGTCACGGAGCCGCTGTGGGTTGCCTTTTGGGCCCCTTGTTTTGAGCAGTAAACCCCTAAACTCCTAAACTCCTAAACCCCAAAACCCCCAAACCCCTAAACTCCGAAACCCTAAACCCTAAACCCTAAACTCCTAAACCCTAAACCGTGCCTTTTGGAGCAAGGTCGCTCCTTCCGGGTCCCGCTGCTTCGGATTCCTTCGGTGCGAGTGGCTGGGAAGATTCAAGTTTGAAAGGCCTTATATTAAGGGCTTTCGCCGTTCAGGTGGGCTGTCGATTTGAGTCTTGCCGCTTTCTCTCTCACTCTTACCACCACCACTATGCATTTACCAATATCAGAGACAGGCCAGGAAGACAATGACAAGAACTCGCTGTACTACTACTCAGCCCTAGAACTAGTAACTAGAATTGTCCATTCACAGAGTAAGATGTGGCGCGTGTGTGTGCGTGTGCGCTCATATAACCCCTTCCCCCAATAGAAACTCGGAAAGGGTTTTCAGTATTGGGGGGTATTGCTTATCTCTACTGCTCTACTGCCACTTTTGAGTCGTCGTGGCGACGGATGAGCGGCTGTTGACGCCAACAGGTGTTCAACTACGGGCACATTGTCAGTACCGGCAGGTCAAGCTTGAAAGCTGCGATTCTCTTCAGTGCGAGAAGTATCTCCAAATCAAGCGCGGACATGATAGGACAGCAACTCTCTGTCACACATCTTACACTGAGCATACCCCTTTCAACACAAGCTCCAGCAGACAAGAGGCATCCCCTGGGAGAGCAAAATCCACACGCACTCGGAATCACCTCGTTCACAAAGCTCGAAGAGATCAGCGAAGACGAGGTTCAGGTCCTCGATGAGCGTCTGCTGCAAGGTGTGGAGCTTCAGCTCATCCAAGCGCCACATGTAAAGCTTCGAGGTCTTGCGGAGTTTAGGCCATGCCGAGGGTAGAGCCCGGCAAACATCGGCTAGGGCATTCTCCTGCTTCAGGGCCAGGCTCAACTTCGTCATCGCATCGACCCGCAGCACTCTGTGACTCTTGTGCACGGGCCCGTCCCTTTCGAGCTACCACCTGATCATGGAAGCTGAGCCAGGCAAGCCAGAGAAGCACGAAGAATCTGCTAAAGCTGTAGCGTCCAGTTGCGTGCAACGCAATGCAAATGGCAAATGGCAACAAGCGCTATGCCCCAGCTGCCTTCACTGCTCTGAAGAGCTACCCCTGTCCTCCATCATCGCTGGCTTGGTATGCAACTTTGCGAATGTGCCTCGGCAGCACACGGCCCGTTGGAGGACTTCCCCATCCTGTGGCAACCAACTTGCGCTATTTAGGCTATCTTAGTCCCTCCATTCAATCCAAGACTCTAAACTCACCTTGAACCTGGCTCCCAAACCCTAAACCCTTAAAATCCCCTATGAACAGCCCTAAATCCTCGAAAACTGTTTAGGGTTCAGGGCTTCGGCGCTCACACTCGCAAACTCCAGGCGACGTGTGTGGTCATGCGACTGCTATGGTGAAACTAGCACAAGGTCTTTTTTTTGACACCTTTTCCCAACTGCATGAGTAGTCGGAGGGCCCCATAGGGCAGGCCTTTGGACAGGATTCTCCCATCCCTTTTGCACAAGGGTTTAGGGTTTAGGAACCCAAATCAACGAACTTCCGTGGCAATCCCAAGTCCAACCCCAAGCACAGCCCGCCCCTTCCCCAAGAACCCTCAACCCAAAACCGAAAGGACCTAAACCCTCATTTTGCACCCCGGACCATGCCTTGAGCCACGCCGGGGCCAGAGCCACAGGACCGAGGCTCGGTGCTTCAGGGACTTTGAAGGCTAGGTTCCCCAGTAACCCCTTAATAATAAGGGTGCCCCTTTTTCCTAATATTCGGCATTAATAAGGAGACCCCCAAATAAAAAGGGCAAAAGCGTACTACTGGGGAGCCTAGAAGGCCTTAAGCACCACCACCATCATCCTCGTTATGATCGTTATCATCGTCGCCACCAACATCATCAGCACGATCCTCGTCGCTGCCATGCTAATATGAGCATGTCGGATCTTCATCTTCGACATTAGACTCCCTCAACAATCTCCTCGACATCACCCTCGCATCATCATCCACCCAATCTTCAGAACAAGCGCAAGCACAACAACTACGGCCACACCAATACTTTCAAAGCTAAGCAGCGCATAGCAGCGCGCATGGCTACTATTCTTTGCAAGGAATTGTAGTTCCTAACTGGCGTCTCTCACTGCGATGCAGTCATCCACTGGTGTGGTGTCTTGTTGCGACTCTTCAACCCTGTGGACCCTGGTAGGGCCCAAGGCAACCAGACACTGTGAAATCTGAGCTCCAGGCCCTCTACCACCTGCGGTGGTTCGCATGGAACTTCCTGAACCGTAGCCACCGTGGTCTCCACCTCCTGGGTGTTTCAGGGCGTCAGAGCTCGGCGGATTCTGGATAGTTGGGACGATTCTTTGCAGGTTGCCAAAGCATAGAGGGTCTCGTCCCGGGGTTATTGAAGCTTATTGTTGAAAGTTGGAAAAAAAACACCTGAAACCGCACAGGTATGGGCAAAGGCCAGGGTGCTAGGTAGAGCTGCATCTGGGGGCCCTGTTTATGCACCGATATAGACCCTAAGGAGTGGGATCCCAGGACCACAAGGACCCCTAAGTAGCGCAGCCCATGCTCTAACAAAGCCCCATAGACTGCACTAAACTCCTCGCAATCGCACAGCAAGGACAGTGGAGGCCTAGAGCGCCCCTGTGTCTGCTTAGCCTGCTCCGTGTGCTGGGACGATACATACCATGCGCAACAAGATGCTCCTTTAGTTGCCCGAGGACCTGCGTAACGAGAGCTTGTGACCAGCTATCTCCATCAAACCACATAGGCATTGCCTTTCGACTCTCGCGTTTAGGGTTTAGGGCATAGGGTTTAGGGTAGGGGTCTCCGAATGGTAGGTTTCATCCCCTACTATCAAAACCTCGCCTCTGGCCGAGATGCTGCCACTGCTTGCCCCATGCATGCAGTGTAGCCGTTTGTCACGGGGAGCACATCCTGCGCGAATGCAGCAGCGACACAGCTCGTGTCTCTGTTCCTATACCCCTTACCAGTATGTCACAGTGCGACACTTGTGTGCAAAAAGCCCGCCGTGATTATAGGATTAGCCAAGTTCCAAGATGTTAGAAACCAACTGACCCATTCCCGCTTCAACTCACTACCGGCCATTGCTACAAGTCTCATTGCCTGGCGAAACATGCAGCGTAACAAGTGTAAAACCACAAAATCGAAAGTGGGACTCTGTCGAGAGTTGAGACCTCGTTTGGGCAGCAAGCATGTTGCCGCAAAACCGTCCGAGACACAGACACTGATCCTAGCTCTTGAATCTTGCCTCGGCTCGGAAAGCATAAGCACCTACTGCTGGGCCCGACAATCTACTTCTCAAGAGATCTCAAGAGGCCCTTTGTGGGAACAGCCCTTTCGGAGGCCTCTTGGGGGGCTTCAGCAAGGGCGGCTGCCAGCTTGGCGCCAGGCGCCGCCTCAGCACGGTTTAATGGTTTTTTTTTGAGAGTTCCACGGTTTGGTGGTTTAGGGCTTAGGGTTTAGGATCTTTTTAAACGTCGCCTTTCTGTCTCGCTAGGAGTCTGAGGCACACTCCCTGCGGTGAGTGTTGGCAGGTGTCGCTTCATTCAACTACACTACTACTTTGAAAACGGATCTTCCACTGGGCGTTTGGACACGCACAGTTGTTGGCTCATCTCCGAAAAAGCTTACCAGCACAGCTATGCAGCATCAGTCACTAGGGTTTAGACTCGCACAACTCGGACGATCTAGGGTTTCGAGCTTCCAAGTCTTACTACTGGCACTAGCAGTTGTCTTCTGTCCAGCCGTCGAGACATGTAGAGTCTAGTCTAGTAGTAGTACTCGTAGTAGTCGTCGTGGTCGTTGTCGTTATCGTTTTCGTTGTCGTGGTCGTAGTGGTAGTTGTGGTAGCAGTAGCTGGAGTCGTCGTCGTGGTGGCGGCAGTGCTACTGGTACTGGCAGTGACTGGTAGTGGCAGCCGCAGCAGTTTCTGTTGTTGTGGCACCACTACACAACGACCAACCCTCTGCTGCTACATCTTCTTGTGCCACAGCTGCTGCTACTACAGCACTGCTTCTTCTACTGCCATAGTAGTAGTACTACTACTGTAGTAGTTGTTGTTGTGGTGGTAGTAGTAGTAGGAGTAGCACTAGCAGCAGCAGCAGCAGCAGCAGCAGCAGCAGCAGCAGTAGTAGTAGTAGTAGTAGCAGTAGCAGTAGCAGTAGCAGTAGCGGCAGCGGTAGCAGTAGCAGTAGCAGTAGCAGTAGCAGTAGTAGTAGTAGTAGTAGTAGTAGTAGTAGTAGAGTAGTAGTAGTAATAGTAGTAACAGTAGTAGTAG